TAAGGGCTATAGACTGACTGCTACACCAACACACACCTTGTCACTATGTATAAGGTCCCAAGGTCGGACTACTTGAGCCATTCGCTCTTACGCTACTTTTTGGCTCGTATGTTACCTTTTTTTTGTCTCTCTTATCTAATGGATTATACTGTTTTGAAGTCTGTTTGGTTCCTTTGACTTTGAATGTGATTGCAACCGTGATCTCCTTGAACTTGGTGGCGACGGTCTTTGTAATGTGATTTAGATATTACCTTGCCCGCCGTCTTCGTTATTCGACTGATAGATAGATGGGTATATTATGTAAAAAACTCTCTCTCTCTCTGTCAATTTCTCTCTTACTCTCTCTCTCTCCTTCCTTTCTCTCTCTTACTCTCTCTCTCTAACTTCCTTCTCCCCCCCTCTCTCTCTCATTCTCTTTCTCTCTCTCACACTTTCTCTCTCTCTCTCTTTCTTTCTTTCTCACACTTCCTCTCTCATTCTCTCACACTTCCTCTCTCATTCTCTCTTTTTTTTCTCTCTCAAACACACACACATTCTTTCTCTCATTCTCTCTCTCTTTCTCATTCTCTCTCTCTCTCTCACATTATTTTCTCTGTCTCTCTCTCCCTCATTCTCTCTCTCTCGCCCTCTTTCTCTCTCTCTCTCTCATTCTCTCTGTCTTTCATTTTCTCTCTCTCTCGCCCTCTCTCTCTCTCTCTCTCATTCTCTCTGTCTCTCATTCTCTCTCTCTCTCTCTCTCTCTCTCTCTCTCTCTCTCTCTCTCTCTCTCTCTCTCTCTCTCTCTCTCTCTCTCTCTCTCTCTCTCTCTCATTCTCTCTGTCTCTCATTCTTCTCTCTCTCTCTCTCTCTCATTCACTCTGTCTCTCATTCCTCTCTCTCTCTCTCTCTCTGATAGACTAAGGAAACCCAGTTCTTAGTATGCTGCCACCGAGTGCCCTCAAAGCCCTTGAAGTTTTACAGAATAAGGCCATGACAATTATACTTGGATGCCCAGTGACTGCTAAAATTCTCGTCATGAGGAAAGAGTTAGACCGTTCCTCTATTCATAACCGTGTCATCCAAGTTAAACCCATACTTGGCATCAGACTCCTGCAGCTTCTACCCAGACCACGAATCTCCAATATCCTATCAAATGAGTTAGGCATGCCCGGCCTTGATACTCCAATCTCGTACAGTCCAACTTAGAATAGGAAACTAAAATTGCTCATACTATCATGTTTTTCAATGTATGGAACAACGAAACTCTTAATATTCCATATACAGTACTTGCTGCTCCTTGGCACAGAACTCATGTACATGCTTATATTGATAAACTAATAGGGTCTAAATCTATGGTTTCAAAAAACAGAACTAAAAGCTCACTACTTGAAATATATAGATGGCATTCTACATCCCCCTCATGGCACGCCCCCACTTGCAATCTACCGTGATGCCTCCACTGATCCTCATGGAGCAACATGGATTGGTGTGCTAATTCCTGATATAGATCTTGATGAAAGTGTGTGTATTTCCAACTGGACAAGCACTACTGATGCCGAGTCAGTAGCTATATATCCATTAATATATAATAATATATATGCCATTAAGAAAGGTAGTGAGCAACAACGACATCTGGCTGCCTTTACAGACAGCCAAAGCGCTCTCCACAAGCTTACTGCATTTAATCCAGATAACATGGTAACTAGGAATATCATTCACCAAATTTCTAAACTATCAGAACGGGGTACTCAAGTGTCACTATACTGGATACCCTCTCATATAGGAATATCACTATGTGACAGGGCTGATCAATTAGCCAGGTTAGCACGTTCCTATGAAGATCCATATTATTTAATACCGCTATCTCTTAATCAAAAAAAGAAAAGAAAAAAAAAAACGAATTATCAACTGTCCTAGAGATTATGAAGGTCAGATATGGACCATTGAAAAAATTGAAAAAAGACGGACATGGTACTGTCTGGCATTGCGAGAGTATTGCTGGGACATCAAATTTAGACAAACCCTATAAAGTCTATCACGGACTGTCTCGGAGACAACAGGTTACATTAACTAGGCTACGCCATAGGATATCAGTTCACTATACAATATGCACAGGATGCAGTTTTGGATACAAAACCTGTTTCATATCACCACTGCAAACTGTATTATAGACACTGGTCTTGTCTTTGACATGATTAGTGATATGAAAGTTTTTTTTACCAGCCAGATGATATTTTAATATAGTGATGATAGTACAGCCCTTCAGGCATGTATGTAACACTAATGTTTGACTGATGGCTCTCTACACAGATAGAAGTACAGCCAGTTTGGATAGATACTTTGGTATTTTACCCTAGCTTTTTTGCAGGGCATGTGCACTGTTCTGTAAATAAATGTTATCAAAACAAATCAAATCTCTCTCTCTCTCTCTCTCTCTCTCTCTCTCTCTCTCTCTCTCTCTCTCTCTCTCTCTCTCTCTCTCTCTCTCTCTCTCTCTCTCTCTCTCTCTCTCTCTCCCTCTCTCTCTCTCATTCTCTCTCTCTCTCTCTCTTTCTTTCATTCTCTCTTTCTCTCTCGCTCTCTTTCTCTCTCATCCCCCCCCCCTCTCTCTCTTTCATTCTCTCTCTATCTCATTCTTTTCTTTGTCTCTCTCTCTCCCTCTCTCTCTCTCTTCCATTCTCTCTCTCTCTATATATTTCTGGCCCCCCCCCCCTCTCTCTCTCTCTCTCTCTCTATCTATCTATCTATCTATCTTTCTGTCTCTCTCTCTTCCTCACTCTCTCACACACACACACACACAAACAACCCCCCTCACACACACACACGTACGTCCATGCGAAGATGGGGAAAGGGCAAATTATTATGTAAAATCTCTCTCTTTCTCTCTTTGTCTCTCTCTTTCTCTCCCTCTCCCCCCTCTCTCTATCTATCTTTCATTCTCTCTCTTTTCCTCACTCTCTCATAAAGATATCTATGCACGCTTGCATGTCTTTGTGGATATACTTACTTCCTTTATTTGTATCTGTCTGGGTACTTACCTTTCCTTACCTTAAAGTCTTACCCTTTCTGCTTGGGTAATGTTTGGAGCTATTTTGGTCTCCGGTCATTTTGCTCTTTAGTTTCTAACTTTATATACATATTTGTTTGTTTATCTCTATCTATCTATGTATCAATATGTCTGTTTATTCAATTGTCTCCTCTCTCTCTGTCTGTCTGTCTGTCTCTCTCTCTTCCTCCCTCTTCCCCCCTCTCTCTCTTCCTCCCTCTCCCTCCCTCTCTCTCTCTCTCTCTCTCTCTCTCTCTCTTTCTCTCTCTAATCCTTTCTCTTTCTCTGCCTGCCTCTCTCTCTCTCTCTCCGTCTCTTTCTCTCTCTCATTCTTTCTCTTTCTCTGCCTGCCTCTCTCTCTTTCTATCTCTCTCTCTCACTCTCTCTCTATCTCTCTTTCTGTCTGTCTGTCTCTTTCTCTCTCTCTTCCTCCCTCTCCCTCCCTCCCTCTCTCTCTCTCTTCCTCCCTCTCCCTTCATCCCTCCCTCCCTCTCTGTCTCTCTCTCTCTTTCTATCTATCTCTCTTCCTCACTCTCTCATACACACACACAACCCCCCCCCCCCCACACACACACACACATACGTACATCCATGCGAAGGAAATGGAGAAAGGGCAAATTATATATTATGTAAAATCTCTCTTTTTCTCTCTTTGTCTCTCTCTCTACCTTTCCCTCTCCCTCCCTCTCTTTCTTTTTCTTCTTCAGTCTCTCTCTCTCTCTCTTATTCTCTCTCTTTGTCTCTCTCTCTCTCTCTCTCTCTCTCTCTCTCTCTCTCTCTCTCTCTCTCTCTCTCTCTCTCTCTCTCTCTCTCTCTCTCCCCTCCCTCCCTCCCTCCCACCCTCCCTCTCTCTCTCTCCCTCCCTCTCTCTTATTTTCCTATTTTTCTCTCTCTCTCATCCTTTTTCTCTCTCTCTCTCTTGTCAAATCAGATAAGAAATCTCAACTCTCTCTCTCTCCCTCCCCCTCTCTCTCTCTCTATCTTTCATTCTCTCTCTTCCTCACTCTCTCATACGCACACATAAACAAACAAACACAACGCACCCCCCCCACACACACACATGCGAAGGAGGGGAGAAAGCGAAAACTCAGGGTCCCTCCAATACTATTATGCTCCCTGTCAAAACGACCGACCACGTGCTGATTGGGACCCGAGGTAAAGCGTAGGCATCGAGACGTATCGATGACCTCTTGATGGCAATAATGACTAGGACGAAAATTACGTATGTGAATTCCGTTGATTTATGTTTGGTGATGCGAGAAAATGGGCGAAAGAAGGAAGAAAGAGGGGAGAGAAGAGGAGGAGGAATAATGAAAATAAAAATAAAAAGAAGGAGAAAGAGAGGGAGAAGAAGGAGGAGGATTGGAAGGAAAAGAACAAGAACAAGAATAAGAAGAAATGTAGAAAAAAAACAAAAACAAAAACACAGGAGTAAAAAGAGAAGAATGAAATGGAAGATTAGATATCTGGAGAAGAGGATTTGTCATGCGCGTCATTCACCGCTTGACAATGACTCGAAGAATAAGATGATTGATGCCACTTATCATCAGCATTTATAAATCACCCTCGCTATTTCACACGTGCTAATAATCACAATGATAAGCGATATAATAATAAGAGTCTCATCATTTCATTTAAGTGTTTTTTTTTATTGATGTGACAAGCATTATGTCTTTATCTGCACCATGATTGCATTTTCGAATCACGCGCAACAATCACTCCTTCCTTTCGCGCTTAAAATCTTGTGTTCTGATGCCAGGTTATGCTGGAACGGACTTAAAGATTTTTTTTTATGTATGGGTGTTGTTGAAATATATCAAAATTCTTTCTTTTTTAATGTATGAGTGTTGTTAAAATATTGCAAGATGCCGCCGCTTAAAAGTTATGGTAACTATTCAGCACAAAATAAATTAAGCACGTCGGCTTCATGGATTACAGAACAGAACGGACTTAAAGATTTTTTTTTTTTTATGTA